GCCATCCAGACAGGATACAGACTTGCCTTGGTGTCAGCCATGGGGTTTTTGATTGCTTGGTGCAGGTGCTCACCCACCATGGCTTTGTGCCTCCTCACAATGGAATTTCTGTGGAGGAACAACTTGGGGTATTCCTCTGCACCTGTGTTACTGGGTTGTCATCCTGGCATGTTGCTGAGAGGTTCCAACACTCACCATGGACCATCACTAGGTAGGGAGTCCATTGGACTGTCTGATATTTTTCTCACAATTTTTTAGACATTTCAAAGCAATGTTGGCTTTCTTTTCTGGGGGACAATTCTATGCATCCCAAGTGCAATTCCCCACCAACAACACTCCCATATCAACTATGATTACTAGTGACCCATGCTTCTGATTTTTCCAGGATTGTATTGGTGCAGTTGATGGCACTCATATTCAAGCATTCACTGCTGCTGAGGATCAGCCTTACATGAGGAACTGGAAGGGCTACCTCTCTCAAAATTGTCTCTTCATCTGTGATTTTGACTTCTTCTTCACATATGCCTTCACTGGCTTTGATGGGTCAACTGCAGATCCAACCATGTGGCATGATGCACACAGGAATGACTTGCACATGCCACATGGGAAGTACCATCTTGCAGATGCAGGGTTTGGGACCTGTGATGTACCTCTGGTTCCCTATTGAGGTGTTCATTACCATCTGAAAGAATGGTGCCAGGCTGGATTAAGGTAAGTTGCTATTCCATCCTGCCCAGTGTACCTGTAGCTTCTATTTTATAGACCTCAAAACCAAGAGGAGTTATTCAACCTTCACCATGCTGGACTTAGAAATGCCATTGAATGGATATTTGGTGTTATAAAATGCAGGTGGAGGATTCTTCAAATTCCCCCTAAATATAGCATCCACACCCAAACTCAAGTACCTGCTGCTCTCTGTGCCCTCCATAATTTCATACAGTGCTATGATCCAGAAGGGTTCTGAGTGAATGGCACCTCAGCTTCTAGTTCTCCAAATACCCTTTTCAATTCAAAAATGAAAAAAAAAACCCTTTCAATGCTATTGCAGTTTTAAATCAATGATATCTCCACTGCCTGTCAACCAAATCATGTAGCACAGGCACTATTCTGTAGCCAAGAGCAAGTACTAATTTTGGTCCTAGAGAAATGAAGCAAAATTTCCACCCCTTTGTGTCCTACACCTCACACACTCCATTTAGAGCAAACATTGAAAGGATTTTTGGAGTCACTGTAACTTCTTCCTCCTCAGTTTCTGCTTGTTTATTTTGCTCCAGACATCAGCTATTACATAGATCAGTAGACTTTGCTTGATGCACATATGTCCTTGAACTGTATACACTCTCCATTTGTTTGCTGTGCCTTCAATTACCCTGAGCATTATTCAACTGCCCCAACAAATGGCCATTGCAACAGCCACCACCCTCACATATACATTGAAGACAGAACCAAGCAGCCCAGTAACCTGCCTTTGACTTCCATAATGGCTCCCAAGCATGAGGTATCCCAATCTAAAGATGCATCACCTCTGAAGTGGCTGCAGGCAAACACTGCACAATCCATGTCCATTTTGGTCTCTACCAAACACACCAAGATCATCCCCAAGCATCTACCCAGCTCCTCTTACTTTCTACCTTCTTCCAGTCTATCAACCAGCATACTCCCAAGCACCCCAACCTCTGTTCCAGCTGATGCTGCCATGCCCTATCAAGAACCTGTGCCCCAAATGCCCATGTCTGAAGTACAGGCAGAGCAGACTCCTGCCCCCCCTCAACTCCCTATTTCTTCTGGTAGCAGTCCCCCTATCCTGGCTACTGTCACTGCCACCATAGGCACTGTGGGACCTGCACCTTCTCATGCATACTTGATCCTAAGCACATGGCCACTTGTCCAGAGCCACTGCTGAGGTAAGGCTCAATCTGTATTCCCTGCAATCCAAACCTGACATCCCCTCCCCCCTAGACACATTCAGACTCTTTCCACATATTCCAACCTGGCAGCCAACACCTTTGCACTTGGACATATGCTTCCTAGCACAACATGGGGAACTGCAGATGCATTCAAAGCCTGCAGTAAGATGCTCTGCAATCCAAAGACTGACAAGCCCATCAATATATGCATCCTTGGCCACATCACAAGCATGTGGTTTATGAAAAAATGGCACTCCTGAAAATCAATGCTCCATTACTATTGTGCCACTTTCTTTGACTCTTGGACAATATGTGACCCAACTAGTATCAAAGTTCTCCTCCCCCACTCTACATATGGCCACTATTCTCTGCATCCCAAATCACATGCTCACCTCCACAAATTTCTTCCACAACTATCAACCAATAGGATCAGTGGCCTCATCCATGCCATTCTGTGGCAAAGTCCCCATGGTGGTGGTGTCATATGTCCTCCATCCTCATCCTGTTGACATTCTTCAACCACCATTTTAGCCATCACTGTTCAACAGCATCTATGATGCATGAGAAATCCCAAAAAGTAAAAGCATGATGAAAAAACTGGATATCTCCTACCTGGAAAAACAAGCACTTGTCCCAATCAAGACACACCTCAAATGAAACCATCAGAAGGATGAAAACAGTTGCTGGACAATCTCTAAAGCTCAATTTGAACTGCAAGCCATCTATCTTCTACAAGAGCCCTGTGTTGCTAACATGAACCAATCTATGGACAGTGGTGTTGAAATCACAGGATTGGAGATCTAAAACTCTCCATTCTCCCCCTTTCTTGCTCACACATCAAGTATGCCATCACTTTCCCCACTAAACTTTCCATCAGATCACCCTGCCATTTTATTTTTTGGGGTGGCAACCCAACTATGTACCATCATCTCCTCTGACCTCATTGATCTTCCACCATCCCCCCTGCATCATGCAGTATAAACAGACAATCTATCTATCAGATCACTGGAGTTCAGTCTCAAAAAAATGACAACAGTCCTCACATTTTTCCTCTCCATGCATGAAAACAGTGGGACTTGGCAAGTACACTCACAAGCCTTTGTGGAGGAAGCAAGGAATGATAGGGGACTTCATGAAGGTGATACTATGGGTTTATGATTATATGATTATGCTTTGATATGATCCTTGGGCAAACAAACCCCAAATCCCAACCTGCTACTAAGGGGCAGACTTAGTCAGTTGCCTTCCTAGCATTTGCATCCACCAAAAAAAGGAAGCAAGGAATGATGCTATTGAAGCTACCAAGAGTAAGATTCTGGCAGCTGGGGAGCATGTAGCAATGATCTCCTTAACTCTGGATGAGTCTGGGTGCAAAGATTCAAGACAGTGAAGCTAGTGGTTCAAGTGTGGTGAGACTTAACACAAGGTTGTAAATGGACTCAGAGACCCAAATGAACTAGCTTAGGAGAAGCATGTCTGGGGATTGAGAATGGTACTTATACTACAGCACATGAGGAGTACAGCATGGTAACTAGGTAAAGGGCATGATGTCAGGGGTGACATCATAGTGGAATGGAAAATTCTAGAGAGTTACATGAGGTTACATTGAGGCAAGGAACCAGACTGACTGACAGTTGGACTGAGTATTGCTGGGGTCAAACAAGATATGTATATATACTCATCCCATGTGTCCTCTTGGACATTGACTGTGAACAGTCACAGCTTTGCTGCACTTTTGCCTCTATCCTTTTTAGGAAGGGGCAATCAGGAGCCATATGGCCCTCCTTGTTGCAATTGAAGCAGGTGATCCCTGATAGGAACTTCTGGGGTTGTTTCCCCTTACCATACAAGTGATCCTGTTCTCATTGACAAGATTGATGGTCTGCACTGTCCTTCCTCAGGAGTCTGTTGTGCTTCATTGGAACATTTGTCTTTCTTCAATAAATGGTATCCCCTTTCTTTATGTATTTAAAGTTTTCATTAGATGAAGGGTGTTGATCAGTCCTCTTGCTGTGTGGGTGTGAACCACTTTATCCCTGGGAGGTTTCCATCCAAAGCCAGCATGGCTCATTCTCATATGCATGTTTGTGGCCTTCTGCACCATTTCCATGCAGCATACCTCTTCAAGGATTTCCTTGATTGTTGAGTGCTCAGCAGATATTCTGCAAGCTTCAAAGACATTCTTAATTACTGAGTGTGGTAGTCCCTGAAAGGATATCCTCCTGAACAAGTAGTCATCTCGGGGTTGTAACATTCAGTGCACACAATGCTTTATGTATACCAGGCTCAGAAAATATTGTAAATAAGTTTATCTGTGTATCTTCCAACAGTGTGAATACCATGTAGTATACTTCACACATGCAAGCTTGAGATAACTCCCCACAACCTTACACTAGTCATGCTGCAGTGGAGATGGATATTGAACATGCCAGACAAATTGATGATAAGCAATAGTCCCATACCCCAACATGCTACTCTTATTTGTGACTATACATAAACTTTATTGGCCTCCTTGCTTTATCAACAGTCTGTTTTCTGAAAACTTCTCAGAATAATAACTGCATGAATGGTGAAAAGATCCATTCATAACAGTATGCACATGGATGTCTTGGTATTTAAAGGCTAATACCACTGGACACATTTGTGAGAAATGTGACATTGTGGTGGTAGTTTGGATGTATATGGGACTTTGGAGATTGTTGTATACATTGTCAAATCCCAGCAATCTATATGGGGTTATACAAAGGCAGCACAAACCCCCAACTTCTGATGGCAAGAAATCAGGTCTCAAGTTTGAAGGGTGCATAGGACTATATAAGAGGACATGAATGTACACAATAACATGCAGACTCCAAATTTCACAGGATTCTCCATAGCAATAGGGGAATTTCAAAAAGACATTTGTAGGCATTGAGATGCTACAAACCAAATCTTCATACTGGTTAGCAGATGGAAACCAAAGGACAAACCAAGAACAGTGAAGCACATAAGAGTTAAAATTATCTTTTTTTCATTTCAGGAATTTCTTTGCTGTGGACAGTTCAAATAGGACTTCCATCATTGTGATAAAGAATGTCTTACACATCTGGTTTGCCTGTGCTATACCCACAAGCATGGAGCATAAATCATCCACACTTTCACCATGCTGCTGGAAGGCTTCTGCAATGCATGCATTAACAATTTCTTGGATGCCTGATGTCTGATATTTTCTGACAATCACTGTCAGATCCTGCTGCAAATCCTCCTTTGTAGTGCACCCATCCTTGACCTGCATCTGGAAAAACAAGTATTCAAAGACAATTACACAACCTGTAATCATGAGCTTCAGATTAAAGCAGTATCAAGAGATAATTTACCAATGCCATGTTCTGCAAGTGCCATCAGGGAAGGCTGCCTTGATGTGGACAATCTAGGGACAGAGATATAACTGCTTTCAAGTTCAACTGGTTGCTGTGACCAACCAATTCAACATGTCATAGACAGCTAAGGGGGAAAAGGAATTGAAACATACCACCTAACAAGATACAAAGGGTAAAACATGAACCAATGTTGAAGTAGGAAAATGAGTGACAAACCAACTGTAAAACATATGGGCAATGAATGAGTATGGGATGTTGAACAAAACCATACATTCTGGAAATAGGTTAAACTTTGTCAGGATGTTAGAGGAATTATAACAACTAACATGCTGAGAATGACAAAGGAGATGTAAGAAAAAAGGCATACTCCATCAAAAGATTGCACCTACATCCTAAGGCAATGTCTCAATAATATAGTAGAGATACATGCAGTGATCAAGCACACCATCTGTTTGATGAGCAGACCTTGTGAAAAGCATGCTAAATGGGGAATGTCCACAACACTCACTCTCTAAGATCCAGAGGCCAAAAGTGAAATAATAGGGATTGTGAGTATAAATTTTCCTCCAGCAGATGCAATGCTGCCACAACATAACTCACATGCTATGAATGCAAATGCAATGGGGTAGGAGAGAGAATCACATTCAGCAACTATCCATGGCCACCATTTTGCATCCATCCACTCACATCCTATGCATGCAAGTCAAGCAAAGCAGTGATGAATATAGTCAGCATGCATCCTCCACCACCTACCATGGCTCCACTCACTTGCTATGAACCCCAGTGCAGCAAGGTGGAAGTGAACATGTCAGCATGCACCCACCACCATCTGGTGTGACTTCACTCACTCTCTATGAACCACAGTCCAACAAGATGGGAGTGAACATGTCAGCATGCATCCACCACCACCATCTACCATCACTCCACTCACTCCCTATGAACCCCAGTCCAACAGGGTGGGAGTGAACATATCAGCATACATCCACCACCATCTGTCATGACTCCACTCACTTTCTGCAAACCCCAGTCCAACAGGGTGGGAGTGGACATGTCAGCATGCATCCACTACCATCTGCCATGATTCCACTCACAAACTATGAACCCCAGCACAACAGGGTGGGAGTGAACATGTCAGCATGCATCCACCACCATCCACCATCACTCCACTCACTCCCTATGAACCCAAGTGCAACAGGGTGGGAGTGAACATGTCAGCATGCATCTGCCACCATTTGCCATCACTCCACTCACAACCTATGAACCCAAGTGCAACAGGGTGGGAGTGAACATGTCAGCATGCATCCATCACCATCTGCCATGGCTCCACTCACAATCTATGAACCCAAGTGCAACAGGGTGGGAGTGAACATGTCAGCATGCATCCACCACCATCTGCCATGGCTCCACTCACAATCTATGAACCCAAGTCCAACAGGGTGGGAGTGAACATGTCAGCATGCATCCACCACCATCTGCCATCACTCCACTCACTTCCTATGAGCCCCAGTCCAATGGGGCAGGTGTGAACATGTCAGCATGTATCCACCACCATCTGCCATGGCTCCGCTTACATGCTATGAACCCCAGTCCAGCAGGGAGGGTGAACATGTCAACATGCATCTACTGTCATCTGGTATGACTCCACTTACATACTATGAACCCCAGTGCAACAGGGTGGGAGTGAACATGTCAGCATGCATCCACCACTATCTATCATGACTCCACTCACTTTCTGTAGACCCCAGTCCAACAGAGTGGGAGTGGACATGTCAGCATACATCCACCACCATCTGCCATGATTCCACTCACAAACTATGAACACCAGTCCAACAGGGTGGGAGTGTGAACATGTCAGCATGCATCCACCACCATCCACCATCACTCCACTCACTCCCTATGAACCCCAGTGCAAGAGGGTGGGAGTGAACATGTCAGCATGCATCCACCACCATCTACCATCACTCCACTCACTTCCTATGAGCCCCAGTCCAATAGGGTGGGTGTAAACATGTCAGCATGCATCCACCACCATCTGCCATGGCTCCACTCACAACCTATGAACCCCAGTCCAGCAGGGAGGGTGAACATGTCAATATGCATCTACTGTGATCTGGTATGACTCCACTCACTCTCTATGAGCCCCAGTGCAACAGGGTGGGAGTGAACATGTCAGCATGCATCCACCACCATCTGTCATGACTTCACTCACATTCTGTAATCCCCAGTCCAACAGCGTGGGAGTGGACATGTCAGCATACATCCACCACCATCTGCAATGATTCCACTCACAAACTATGAACCCCAGTCCAACAGGGTGGGAGTGAACATGTCAGCATGCATCTGCCACCATTTGCCATCCCTCCACTCACAACCTATGAACCCAAGTCCAACAGGGTGGAAGTGAACATGTCAGTATGCACCCACCACCATCTGCCATCACTCCACTCACTCTCTATGAACCCCAGTCCAACAGGGTGGGAGTGAACATGTCAGCATGCATCCACCATCTGCCATCACTCCACTCACTCTCTATGAACCCCAGTCCAACAGGGTGGAAGTGAACATGTCAGCATGCATCCACCATCTGCCATCATTCCACTCACTTCCTATGAGCCCCAGTCCAATGGGGTGGGAGTGAACATGTCAGCATGCATCCACCACCATCTGCCATGGCTCCACTTACATACTATGAACCCCAGTCCAGCAGGGAGGGTGAACACATCAACATGTATCCACTGTCATCTGGTATGACTCCACTCACTGCCTATGAACCCCAGTGCAACAGAGTGGGAGTGAACATGTCAGCATGCATCCACCACCATCCGCCATGATCCACTCACTTTCTGTAAACCCCAGTCCAACACAACAACCACAATCACCTTTAGTATCAGCTAAACTTAGTCTTGCAGAATTTCACACACCACCTATCACCTAATTAGCCTCTAATTCCCCCAACACACTGGTTGCTTACAAATGGGAACCATGATGCAAGCTCATATTGTAAGCTGCCCAGGTTCTGATCAACCACTTTGATCATGGCCCTCTTCAATGTCCTTTCTGTAATCAGTACCCTGTAGAACTTCATTTTTACCACTCACTCCATTATGGCAAATTCCATGCAGAGTCCCAAGTTTGACTGCTGTGATGATATAAGCAGTCCTTGCAGCCCTTCCTCTGTCAAAGTATTTGCTGTGCATCTCAATAACTCTTCACAATCTGCACTCTCCTGTTCCATGCCTGGAGAGATACATGCCAACCTGCAGTTTTTTTTATTCATGACATACTTACCAGTGAGCATCAGGTAGCTTTGAGGTGGAAACTTCAGTGCATTCAGCCACCCTTTGATCTTTTCCAGACAGCTCTTTTGCAGCTGTCTTTCTACCTCTGGCACCTTTTTCTTTGCATCATCTCCAGTTAACCCACTTCTCCTGAGCTCCTGGAATGCATCAAGATACAAGGTGTCTGCCTTTGTTAGTAGCACAATCACAGGAACTGCACAAATCCTAAACCCTTGCACTAAATATGATGTGATATTTGTGTACACATACCATGTCCTGAATCACACTCATTAAAGAACTTCCTTTCAGCAGCCGTGACCATCCTATGCCTTTCATTCAATGGAATGCAATACCTAAATCAATCACAAAATCCAGGTCAGTGGACCCCCAGTGGCACTAGTCAGACATGTCCCTACCAAATTGCATGTATTCTCTTCTCCAGTTTTGTGGACTTTGCTTGATCTATAACAAATTTCTTCATCTCATCAAACTCTGCCTCGCTCCCCGCCTCAAATCCACATGAGTCATGGAACACAAAGCGCGGGTTACTTTTAAACACTAGCTCATCTTCAATGTTATGGTAGCCACGCTGCATAAGTTTGATGTGAGCACCATGTAATTTCACACGGTGGCCTTACCCCCAGTGAACCCTCCACCGCCCCAGTATCAACCTGACAGAATGACATGCTTACAAATACGAAGCACATGACACATCCACATACCTTCTCTCCGTTTCCATCGAAGATCTCGGGCTGGTCCGTAGTGTTACAGACCCGCTGTAAAACAGTCGTTTTACCCGCATTTGCTCTGCCCATGACAAGAATGCGAAAACGAGGGATGTGATCAATCCGCCTTTTGGCCTGGGTGGGACCTAAACGATAGTCCGAAACCTGTGTAGAGACGGCTGCATCCGGTGCAACTGAAGAAGTGGCTTCAGTGGGGAGTAATATACCAGCGTTGCGACTCAGTGTTTGAGAAGGGATGCGATCAATCTGCTTTTTGGCCTCGGTAGGATCTAAACGATAGTCCGAAACCTGTGTAGGGACGACTGCATCCGGTGCAACTGAAGAAGTGGCTTCAGTGGGGAGTAATATACCAGCGTTGCGATTCAGTGTTTGAGAATGGATGCGATCAATCTGCTTTTTGGCCTCGGCAGGATCCAAGCGATCGTCTGAAGCCCGTGTAGAGATGACTGCATGCGAAGCAACATGAAGGAGTGGCTTCAGTTGGAATCGGAACTAGTAACACACCAGCATTGCCACTCGGGGCTTGAGAAGGGATGCGATCAATCTGCTTTTTGGCCTCGGTAGGATCTAAGCAATCATCTGAAGCCCGTGTAGGGACGATCGCGTCCGGAGCACCTGAAGAAGTGGCTTCGGTGGGGAATATCACACCAACATTGCCACTCGGAGGTTGAGAACCCCGCAACGAACGCCACCAGGAACGAAGAGAGCACGGCGCCATGGTGATGTGAAGATGAGCAAAAAGATCTTAGGATGTCTCGAACAGTAGCGTGCTATGATTGTAGGGAACGATGGTGGTGGTGTGCGAAGGGCAAACGGCTGCGGAGTCAAGTTGCGTTGAATCAACGTGCCTATCTGTGGTGCGCAGCCTGACACGTGTGTGGTAGTCGAGAAGTCCACGGTTCAATTTTGCATTGACGCGTCGACACACCATTCGTTTGGCGTTGTTTATTGTTATCTTTCACCACCTATGTGCTACACAGCTCAGAATACAGTATGCTGATTGACGTGATGCAAGGTATATCGTGACCTCATAAGAGATTAGTAGGCAAGAGTGTAGGTTCAGGTCGTGGGTACGACTCGGAGGCCGGATGATGCGTGTATGTTATGTAAGCGAGAACACTGCCGCAAGGCCTTGCGCTGCGCTGCGCCGACTCTGCGAAGTTCAGTGCATGCTCAATACTGGACTTGGATGGCACACAATCAAACGGGTGTCAATGGATACGGAGTCAAGCAGTGTTTGTCCCATTAGTATATCACTGGCTGACTAGCTGATGTTGCTGCAACACAGATCCTCCTGAAGATGTCCTTCGTGAGGCACTCCATCAGTATGCCAAGGAACGACTCACGGTGTAGGAACGTTTGGCAAGACTGAACTCTGAGTTCCAACTTACTGTCAAGTTAGGCCAAGGATTTGATTCCGTCTATGCTATCAAGCTGACACTACCATACTTTTGGCAGGAAGTCCCGGTTGCATGAACTAAACAAGCAGTGTGACGGTCCAAGTCCACGAAAGCCACCCCCGACTGATATTGCAACCCAAGCTGTTCTGGAGAAAGTTGCGAATGATGTCAACCAGGCAAATGGAGTCCGAACGATCACATCACTTTCGAGTAGTGAAGGAATGCCCCTGCCTCGGTGCGACCCTTATATGTCATACAAACATTCCTTATGCATTTATTTATCTAGTGATTTTGTACGCACTGTGCTTGCCTGCCATGCACCAGATGGGTTGAATGCACGGTTTCCTCGTGGCAAGCAAGTTGGCCGATCGACCTTATCGGCTATTGGGCCAAATCACCAGCATCATGCGGATGGTTTTGCGAAGTTGAATGCACAGGCTTTGCAGATGGGCGGTGTAGGACTTGACATATATGGGATAAAGGACCAATGGAGTAGTTTTCTTCTCCATCTTGTTGTAGTTCCAAACCATCGGCTTGCAGCGACAATTGGCCATGTGCACCTCGACTACATCACAAAGTACATGGGTTAGTGTTATGCTTGTTTCCCTTGCAGTTTCGTACTCAATATTGATGTGGAAGCAATACCTCCGACATTTGTTACTGACAGAGGCTCAGAAACAGGTATCATTTTCGCCAACCAGACAGCACTGTGGTATATTACAATTCCTTAGTTCACTGCTAATAAATATACTAAACCCTGCTTGTGTATGCTAGCACGGTTTTTGCACCTAACATCGATGCCAACCAATACCCGCCATTCCAGTTCTTGAAGAGTGTCCATAATACACCCATTGAGGGCTTGTGGCACTGGTTTCTTGATACGAAGGGTATTAATGTAAAAATTTTGCTACGAAGCGGACTACATGATGGAGCATATCACCCAAATAAATCTCTTCACAAGTGCGTTGCTTCATTCACTACCCATATTTTTCTTTACCTGACGGATGGCATTGCCATTAGGCAACTCTTCTACTGGCTCTGGCCGAAAATTTTGCGGGGCGAATTGGATTCTTTTGTGGAGTATTGGAATAACCACCGCATTCGCTACCAGAAACGAAAATCCAATGCTTCAGGTACCTCTCCACGACATGCATTCACTCTCCCAGCATCACAAGGTGGACAGGACTGCAAGGTTCCCGTTACCCAAGACGTAATTGATGCACTGAGGCATGAAATCCCAGTTTCGAGAGATGTGTCAATGTGTTGGGTAAGTGAAGAGTTTGGTAATTTGGCCGAAAGGATCTATGAAGAAATTGGATGTCCCAACTTCACGCTGCACGGAGGCTGGGCTATTTTTCAACAAATGGAGGAAATCCTTGTCGATGAACTTCAGGTTGATGAGCTCTTATATCCGTATTTACGTTGATTAGCTATTTCACAGATCAGAACTTAATACGAGTCTGAGATGTAGCAGCATCTCTGTGGTCACAACTCCACATGCAACAAAATGCTACTCCCATTTTAGCAACACAAAGGATATCACCAGCCATGGAAATAATGTACATGGAAACTGCAGGCTTGACATGATGTACATAGAATTTTGATCCATCTGCATATGAAGGCCACATGTACTGCACAATCCAAGTCATATAAAATGGGCTGGGCACACTACAGTTCAGTGTCATCCAACAACACCATTCTGTCCTTACAGGTACTCCCCAGTTTGATTCTCTCTTTTGTCAAGTGCATTCCTTTCAGTCTTTAACCTAAGAATGGCCATTCTTTCACAGTGTGAAGCTAGTGATGGTGATGGCTGTGGGCAGATCTTTCCTCACAAGACTCAACCTGGGATCTATGCAAAATGCCATAAATTAGCTTCTTTTCAAGCTGGCTCTGCAGACATCAAGTTATGGCAGGTATGTTGATACACATGGATTCCTGACTTTGCAAAGTACCTACTGACTATTGCTTACAGGCAATGCCACAATGCAAAGGATGTGGCATGGCATGGAAAAATTTACAGGGAGAGATGTGCGGAACTTGTGAAACTGCATCACCTGCAGCCAACCAAGGTGTGATCAATTATAAATGAGTAATTACTGGACTGAGATTGGTGCAATGCTAGTTGGTAACTGTGATAGCAGTACTGGCACAAGTCAGGTCATGCATGATGCCATTGAAACTGCAAGGCAAGCACAGGCAGTGTTGGCTAGTGTCCACTTGCAGAAATCACCAAATACATCTGGACTTCCAAACACTCTGAACACAACTGCTGGCCTCAATTATGCATGGAATGGTGGTGGTCAACCAGGCAGTGACAAGATCAAAATTGCTATTGAAGTCCAAATCAAAGGTGCCTCAAAGCAATGCAATGCTGGTGATGCATATAGGAAGTGGATGAAACTTTGGGCAAAGGATGTTTACCTTACTGGTGAGAAATATACTAAATGTTTATTACTGCCCATTTAGCCACTTGGGCTCTCTGACATTTGCACCACAGAGGTCCTTGAGGATTCTCTCACTGCCCTTAATGTCAACTGGGAAAAAGATGAGGGTTTAGGGTTGGTATTGTAAGTGAGCTTCACATCACTGGCCCCAGATTCCATACTTACAGTGTGTGGTAGGGGTGAAGTTCAGTTTTGTTTTCCTGGAAACAAGAATTTCCAGCCAGGTGATCAAACTAAAACTGTTGGATATGTGTATAATGCATACATGCTTGGCGAGTCAGCAGATTTCTACAAACCAAGGGATGCCCAATCCAAGGAAGTGAAAGGACCAGCCCTCTTCTTGGAACTCTATGTTGACTGTGAAGCAGTGAGTTTTGTGCTTGCAATCAAAGTCTGTAGTTCTAATTGCCAAAAGTTTATTGACTGGTGTGAACATGTTCATGGGGAAGTGCCAGGTAGCTGCACTATGTCCACCCAAAAGCACCCTGCTGTGGATCACTCCTCTGATGAGGATACTGCCCTTAGAACTGTAACTCATTGACCACACAAAAAGGTGCAACATGGCAAGTCTCAATTTCAAATTGTTGACTCATATTAATTGCAATATATACCTCAACTACTACAGGTCACCTTGGACTCACATTGACCTTCATTCCCACACCATCATTAACATCTCTGTCTCATACTACATCAGGACCTTCAACCTCAGTGACCTTTCTACATGCAGTTTGCAGCATGGTGCCTGAGACAGGTGAAGTCAAAATTGTGTGGCCAGATGACAGTGTTGAAACAATCAAGGGTTTCCTGGGATCTGATGTGTTTTCAAAAGGCCAGACAAAGAAGGTTTATAAGGTTCGTCACTAAGGCACATCACACTTTTAGTCATTTGCTTACAGCTTTCAGCTAATGCTCAATGGAGATCTTTTTGTTGCCAAATGTTTCTTTGACATTGGCACTGGTGAATCCATGACAACTACTGACAACAAGAAGTACCTCGAGGCTGAACTAGTCTGACTTAACTTGGGAAAGTGGTTTCTGGGCCATTTCTGTGAACTTGCAAAGCAACAGGGTGTCAGCATCTTTTCAGGTATGTTTACTCAGCCTTAACTATCCCTATGTCTTAATAACCTGTGCCAATGGCATAGATAGTGTTTTCTGAAGGTTTCCTGCTCTGTGAACATGAGATGTTGTCTGCTGCATCTGGTGAATCAGACTGTGGGAATTACTATGGTGGTGCTGTTTGGCTTGTCAAGCCTCAACGGACTACAACAGTTATGAAGTTTAGTGGCACACTGGAGCACTCATCTTCAACAGACAAACTTGGAATTACTATTTCAGCCTTTGCTCATTTTGCATATGAGTACAGCAAGCATAAATTGGTCTTCACAGATATTCAAGGTACACATCTAATACCAATGATACACCCAGTAAAACTGACCTTCTTTGCTGCCCCTTGTCAGGTTCCCCAATGACAGTGAATGGGCATGATGGAATGGTCTTATTTGATGTGATGACCCACACAGTGACACCATATGGTAACCAACTGCATCACAGTGTCAAGTTACTGATTCCCCTCGAGTGACAGTGGAATTGGCAATCATGGCAAAGATGGAATCAAAATTTTCACACAGCCACACCAGTGTGACTACATCTGTGTCAATATGGGACTCCCCTCAATTGTAAATACCCATGGTGACGAGGCATGATCCCTCTAGGATGTAGTAATGCACTGCTATTTGTGGACAGCTAGTAGCCTAATACATTCGGACAGAACTGGATGGTTGACGTTGATCCCGTATTTACTCAATGCTAGCCAGCAGATGTGTTCATGGGCCTCAGACTTGCCTGATGGCACACAAGTAGTCGGGACAACACTAGTCACACCTGCTTACATAACACACACTAATTCATGTTCTTGCTCCGAGGCTCACCACACCATCATAAATGTCAGGTAATCACTTATGTGGTCACAATATACCTTGTAGATGTTGTGTAAATCAGCATACTGCATTGTTGAACATAGGTAGTGGAAGATAAACAACGCCAAATGAATGGTGTGTCGACGCGTCAATGCAAAATTGAACCGTAAACTACGACCACCAAGTTCCTGTTGGACCGTCCCACTTCTTCTCGTCGTCTGACCGCGTCCCGGTGATGTATCGGCGAGAGGAAGACTCGACCATCGATCCTTCCTTGTTATCTTCCATTGCTCATTGCAATATCAGGGGGACTCGTCCCATGCTCTCCGCGGTACCAAGCCAGCTCGATAGGTGCACTAGTTGTGCTCCTGGTGAAACGTACTACCGATCTTCTCAGCGGCTTTATGTTTCCATGCTCGCCCCGTCCTTCACACCAGACACCATAGCACAGTAGGGCTTCCCCAGCTCCTTCGAGGATCTGGTTTCCAAAAACATTTTTCCACAATACTCGGTCGTGCAGTTGGGAAATCCACAAGCAACATGTCTCTTTGCTCCCTTCCACAGTATGTGACCCAAGCTTCGTCTCCAAATTGCACCACCAGTGAGTGCTGCGTTCTGGCTACCGCCTTATCCTCCCTTACCTCCACCAGTTGAGATCCTATCCTTCGCGCTGTGTGTGACTCCAACGGATAGCCATGGAAGTTGCAGAGCCTCTTACAAAATTTGCATAACTATCTAATGGGACACCTATTAATCTCCATGCCTTAGTCGCTTGTAATATGCCACTACGTAGGCTTTTCCAACTAAACTTGAATAGATTAGCTTCTAGAACATATGCCTCGGTGCTCCTTCCCTTGACGGACGATTTTGTTGCTCGCTGAGAGGCGAAGACATTTCTAAGGCCACAGATACATATCGTGTTACCCCTTCCCTACATATCGCTGCTTCTCATACTCCCTCCAGAGCGACTTCATGAGAGTCTTGCCGCCGGAATCCAGTGCAGAGACCATCAGAGCATCTCGATTGTACTCGCCAAGCATTTCACATAATGAGAATAGCCCAGGCTCGAGTTCTCGTCGTATATCCGGTGTTAGGATACACAACGGGTTGTTCATAGAGTCGATGTATGCCAAGAGGACGTGTCCTACATGCTTTGCGAAAGGCTTTGCCAGCGATTCAGCTTTTTGTGTTTCGGCGGCAATCGCGATATGTTGTGTTGTGTGCGTATGAGGGACGGTTTTGACGGTGAGTGCGGTGAGAAGTCGACTAAGAGCACGGCTTTCGGCAATGCCGAGCGGCTGGGATGGTGAAATCCAAGACGGAAGTGTTCCCGCGACGAGTTTACTCTGCTTAGCGCCTAGCTGGGGGCGCATGCGCCTCATTATCAACAGCAAACGATGCAAGACGAAGGCTAGATGCGGGAGCGTATGAATAACTATGTCACGTCTCAGACGAACGAGAGAGCCTGCTATAGAAACGATGCAGTGAAAAGTCGCAAACGAGGTGGCGGTGTCGTGGTCGGTGGACCCCGATAGGATTTTACAGAGCAAAGACCAGATGTTTCCGAGGTCGGCTGAACGCACAGCAGCGGGCTGCCATTGGATATAAGAATGACATTGACCAAAGTGTTTCGAGCGATGACACTCACTCTGTCAGAACAATGCTTCGCGATCAGTTCCAAATAGTGTTCTTTCAATTCCGTTGAACCTCCGTATAGGTGAGGTTGATCGTTGAAGGCATCGAGACAGCGCGTTACGAATACTTGGACCACCTTAAGAGTCCCTGTGGTGTCACGTTACCGAACCCTGCCACTTATAATCAGAATAGGAGATTGATACAGACCTTGGGGTGTATCATGCAGCAAGATCGTCGAGAGGTGTATCAAGCTTTTGCATTGGCCCACCGGAAGCCAAGGGTCCTCGATTCCTTCTCCTATCACACTGAGCAGGCGTGCAAAACTGTCTACCGACAGTTCTGCTGTGGCCTTCGTGACTTGCATATCCAGGGTGTCGCGCACTACAGCAATGGCGTGAGATGTTTAAAGCTGAAACCGATGTCGAACGATGGATTACCTTCTATCTCAGTGCCATGTATTGAATACAGTGCCGCGATTATCTCGAGGTATGCCGAGTCCGAAATATTGGGGAAACATCGAAGCTCCTCGAACAGCAGAGCCAGTACACGAGGACACATCGTTGCACGGTCTGCACCTACCGGCAGCGAGGGACTGCGCAGTGGGCTTCGCATAACCCCAGTCGCTAATTTTATGCCTATCGGCGCAACGCTACCAGTTACTGCAAAAGTTGAGCAAGTATACACGCAGCTCAGCAATGGCTTTACGTACTGTCAATCCCTAGCCACCGCCCAAACGATAACGCATAAGAACGAGCTTCAACGTGGTCGCTCAATGCAAGTGCGCCACTGGTTCTGGATTGTCCCCCGTCTGAGACGAAGACGGGTGTAAAGGATTCGTACAGTGTTCTCAGCGCGGATACAACAACTGTCGCAAGGCTACGTACGCACGTCAGAAGCAATACTGGACAAACTTTCCAAAAGTAAATTTCACCTTCCTGGAGAATGGTGTTCTCTTAGACATTCAATGAGCCGGAACACAACAGATCGGGTAAGCACATGTTGCCATAATCCCTGCGACAATGTATCGGAGAATGGTTGAGCAGCAACAAGACTACTCAGTATGCTGGCCACCGCTGCTGATGCCTCGGAATTCTGAGCACGGAGGAGAGTACTAGGATGACCAGTAATTGTACCAGGCCAGAAATTCGTGTAAAAAACTTACAATAGGTGAAACGAGACAAGATTTAACGTCTCTTTTGTAAGTGCATCTGGCGACATGGCCAATCTTGATGGTGACTGCAGTAAATGTTCGACGTATGCACGAGATGTCTAATAAAGTTCAATCACTGGGAAATGGAAAGCGAATCCGACAAGATAATCGCCAACTTACGGTGCAATCCAGCGCGTTCGTAAACTGGCCCATACGATACAGGAAGGCACGGAATACCGTGAGATGGTGGACGCAGAGTTCTCTGAGCATTCGCACTCCAGAATCGTCTTCTTCGTCCATGTCCATCTCATACCCAGCATCAGATATTTGCGGTGAATCAACCATATCCTTTCCCTTCCCCAAGTGCTCCCTGTCACTCCGATCCGCTGTCCCGCCGCCACTTACGACCTGAAGTACCGAGCATGTGGCGACGTCACCACCTACCGCTCTCTTTACAAGTTCCATGCGAGAGGCCCGGGTGAAGTACTCGGGAGGTACATACATAAGAAGAGTGTAAACTTCACTTGCACGTAAAAGCTCAAGTTTGTCAAGTCCGTTAGTCCCAGTAGACCCAGAAAGGAAGCAAGATGAGGACAGAAGGGAAGTCTGCTTTAATGCAAACGACAGGAAGGCACCTGCAGAACCGAAGGATAAATGCAAGAAATTATTTGACGGAACGGCCAACCAACTGGAAACGCACTTCGCATATTGGGCAACTCCCAGAACTGTGCATTCCTTAGAACAAGGAGAAGAATGTCGCGGGGTGAAATGTCGTAGTGTGAACCCAACTGTCCGTCAAGTTCGTTGGTAGTTCCAAATGGAAGTTCCAATCGAATGGTCAAGAGAAGGCAGATGAACCTCTGGAGCACCTCTTCCGGAGCGGCTGCACTGAATATTACAGTAGGGCGACGTTTCCGATGAGATACGAATCTGGGGCAATCGAAGGAACGCACTCGACGACGTCTATCCACCGATCAGCTAACACGTAAAGTAGGGCAACGCCCAAGTTTTCCCGCGTAAGCGCTGCTGAAGAGCCGCACCATCGACTTTGAGGGGAGAAGTGGCGAATTAAAATATCGATGCTCGTCTTGATAATGGCACCAGCCTGAGCATGTTGGAAGCCGCGCGTTTGGGAAACTTGCGCGAAGAGTGTCCTGACCTGTACATGTGTGGATGCAGTTAGCACAGAGAAAAGAATAGTAACATAGGCCATACGCACGATTTCTAGTACTAATTCTGCAGACGTGCCTTCGTCCCGGACGACGCCCAGCAACTCCTCGATTTCATCGCTTCCTAATACGTCACTTTGGCCTAGCGTCACAGGCGTTGGCGAGCTCGCAACTCGTATCAATCGGGCGCGGACATCACATAGACATCGCAACGCAGCAGAAGCGACGACGTCATCCGAAGTTAGCATATCAGAATCCTGCCGCTCCCTTTCGCGTTGCCGCTTCTTGCGCTTCTTTCTCTTGCTTTCGTCTTCGCGTTGGGGAGCTACTTCTTGCCACTCACCTCGTCCGTGACGCATGCACTCCCAGGCGATATCCCACCCCAGCTTCCCAACCTCATCCCACGGGACTCCTGGATCCTGAGTGTCGGGGACATACGCATATGGGGGGAGGCTCGCGAGAACGGCGCCGGACACGCGGGCAACATAAGCAAATCCAACTGCTAACGAGTGGCACTTCGACCGCAGCGTGCCATCGTCATCATCGTGTCCTTTTGTTGGTATCTCCTCCCCTTCGTCAGTTTTTCGTCGCTTATCGCCGCGTCGACTTCGACCTCTTTCAGCAGTGTATGCTTTCCACACCCGCGTAAGTTCTTCCAAAACAGCCGGCCCCAATTCTACAGATTGTACAGGCGTCAAAGCCGTACGGAGAGCTCTAGTGAGCCACGAAAGGTGTGTCCGAAGTGGACTGAACATCACGTCATGCGGTGGTATAGGGAGAGATTGCGAGGAGACCGACTCGGGCAGGCTGAGTGAAGAGAGGGCAGTAAGAAGCGTGAGGATGTAGATGTGTACCGTGCGGGTCTTGGTGTGATACTCGAGAAGGTCCGAAAGTAGTCGCTCAATCGCATCCGCTGTCCGCAAGGAGAGCGGGCGCACCAACTAAAAAAATCGAAGAAAGTCAGTCTGCGAGGTACACCAAGACGTAATTTACTACTACTTACACTAACAATAGCGCCCAGTAACCTCCGCGTCTCGCTGCCTATCAGTTCATACTCAACTCTTACCAGTACGTCGAGAACATCTATTGCCAGAGTCACGACCGACATGTCATTCGAGTTACAAACTTGACCAGCCCGCTCGACTGTGACTAGCGCAAGCTCCCTCGCTTCTATCAAAGCAGACTCCGCATCACGACCGGGAGCCGCGTTCCAATTACCCGACCCAACAGTTGTGTGCGGGGTATACAGGCGCTCCTTTTCGATCACGTCCAAGATCCCTACGAGCGCCATCCATGCGCCCTTCCTTTGCGGTCCGGAGTCCATCGTTACGGTATTGCGTAAAAGAACCTTCCAGCAGGACTCCCAAACCTCCATTGCATCAGCGCGCACGGCCTCACGAATGGCCAGGGTAGGAGATGCCGACCCGGAGGAAGAGGGGAAAAGCGTTGTGCGGTGGCGATTTACTGCACAAAGACGGGCAGCAAAAAGGCATGGCAGGAGGGAAAGGCCATGATGGTCTGTGCATACGCGCGAAAGTGCATCCAATAACGTATCGAGAGGCTGCCTGAGACCTTCGACGGAGAATAGCGTCTCGATACCTGCATAGTAAAGAGTGTCATGAAGTTGTTTCGGGGTTTTCGACGACGGGTCTTCTTGGCTTGATTGTGCATTCAACGACTGAGAAGCTACGGAGGGCGAAAGGGTACGAGTCCAATGGAGCATGTGTGTCGAAAGGAAGATAGTGTATAGCTAGTATGTGTAAATTGGCACGGAAAACAAACAGAAGGTAGAATGTAGGAAGATCACCTTCTTCTTGTTCCCGAATTTCCCAAGAGCCTCTCTGTATGATTCGACTACCATGATACATATCCACGCCAAATCATCCTGAACATTCTGTCTGAGAGAGCGCATCCCCAAATACAACTGATTTCCCACTCACGTTCCAAGGCACAGAAACGCCCAATACGGCTGTGAGGCATTCCATGAGAGAATCCATGCCAGCTCTTTTCTCAGCCCAGGGCCATAATGTCGCAAACACGGCACGTGCAGGTGCATATACACCGCCAAGATCGACGTCGGGGGCGTGTGAAAGGGAGATAAGTTCCTTGACAATTCCTGCAAAGTTGTTACGATAGACTAGCGGCAGGAGCCAGGATCTCCAGGGGCGAGCAGAGGACACAGAAGACGAGAGTGTCTGCTGTAGCAGCAACCAATATTTAGGATTTGATATGGAGCTCCTTCCATCGCGTGCGAGAGAGGCCAGCAGCCATTCGACAAGAACTTCGGCCGTTTTCACAGCACCAAACGACGTATCCGACCAAACATCATTCGCGATGTCGATTTTGAATGGTCCGTCTGGTGAAGGTGGGTCTGTGGGGGCCTTGAGAAGGCGGACGAGAGCGTGGATAGTGAAGCGGGTGTGCATAGCTCAGAACATAGTTCGACCAAAAAAGAAACTACAGTTGATTATCTCATAACGGATACGAACGGGCTGAGGAAAATTCCATGCATTTTGGCGGTTATGCAAGAGCCACATGTCACAGATTGTGTGACCAACATTACTAATGTGTGACACTAAACACGTACGAGCTCTCAACTATCCTGCCACTTCGCCCAGGAATCCAGTGTTGACTGCTTTGCGCTTTTCATCTCCATGCGCCTAAGGAAGCCATGGAAACGACGCAACTCGTGCAGCAAAGTGAGCCCATTATCTGAGTAACCAAACCTCCAGCATGCTGCTTCAACCTTCTCGCACACCTGGGCCACCTCAGAAAGACTGAGGCCTGCAGATGAGTCACTTTTGCCCTCCTCCTTGCTGTCACTGATCTCAATAACATCCTCATTTTCAGCTGTGATCAGTTGCTTGACATGTGCCACAATTTTGGCATCCCCATGCATAGGTTTGTCAGGTTCCATTTGAGCCTCATGTTCTTCCCTTGGTTCCACCAGCTCATTCACAGGTGGAACATCATCCTTGATCCCTTTCAACCTGTGAAGTTCTTCAACTGCTTTAAGAAGGTCTTTCTTGACTGTGATAATCTGAGGTGCAGGTTGCTTGCCACTTGAGCCACCTGGATGTTGGATATGGATTGTTAAGTGAGATGTGTTGATTGCAATAGTAGCAAGTCTCTTGACTTCTTGGATGGCAAGGTTTGTATCATTTTCTGCAGCAAATATGGCATTGATTGCAGGCTGCCAATCCTGGTCAACATATGCAGATCCCAGGAGTGTCTTGAGGTGAGACCCCATGTCTGGTAAGCTAATGGAGTCAGATGCTGCAAATTCATGTATGATGTCCAAGGCTGGGCTGGACCATAGGTACCAAGACTGGTGAATTAATGAGTCATGATGCACAGATATTATTGTAAGTTACAAACTGGGGGGTATTGGCAGAGGACGAGGACGAAAAGGGGAAAAGGGCGAGAGCTTAAGACGAGCACTTGCCTTATAGTAAGATTGAGTGTTTAGAAGTATTCGGTTGTTGAAGAGAGCTGTTGAGGCTCGAAGAGATAACAGAGTAGATTGACTGCTAGTCTGAGGGGATACGGCAGAAACCCCTTGGTTTATATACATGCAGGTATGCGCACAGACCAGGTGACGCATATGGTAAGTAAAGATACTACCTACTATGTATAGTATAGAAAGTCATGGAACGCCGTAGAATAAGTGGAGTAAAGTGACGTCATAGTGGAGTCACTTATAAAGCATGACATCATGTGAGTCATCATTAATAGTAAGCAAGTCTAGAACCGGTAGTAATTGATAAACAATTCCAACACTCCCCCTCGCTCTAGAATGGTAAGGTCACGAGACCAAGCGACGAGCGATTTGTTTCAAATTTCTGCCAGGTAAGTGACTTGGTTAATCCATCGGCCTTTTGTCGGTCCGTTTGGATATATTCAATGGCAAATAGATTATCCTGGACACATTCGCGAACGAAGTGCCACTGGACATCAATATGCTTTGATCGACCATCTGAGACTGGATTCTCGGCAATAAAGCGAGCACCCATATTGTCACAGTAGAGAATAGTCTTCTCCAGAGTAAGGTCTAGTTCTTTGAAAAGCATAAATAGCCATTTGATTTGTCTGGCAGAGTCACATAAAGCCATATATTCGGCTTCAGTGGATGAAAGCGCAATTGTCTTTTGTTTGCGCGATCGCCAAGAAATGAGGGAGGTGCCAAGAAACATGGCATATCCGGTAGTAGAGTGACGAGTATCGACATTGGCTGCCCAATCAGTGTCTGCGAATCCGAAGATGCGAGATTCGGTCCCAGAATAGTAAAGCGCTAGTTTCGGAGTAGATGCCACATACTTGACAATGTGTAGCGCTTTTTGTTTGTGATCTTCTGTAGGATTGGCCATGTACTGCAACATGCGAATAACCGCGAAAGCAATATCTGGGCGAGTACCCAGGGCCATATAAAGTAAAGATCCAATGATAGATTGATACTGGGAGCGAAGTGAAGAAGAAGCTTGATAAGTAGCTTCAGGTTTCTTCGGTTGGTAGCCAGATGGAAGTGGAGTGCAGACATTGTGTGCATTCTCCATTTGGAATCGTTTGATCACCTTTTTGACATAAGGGATCTGATCCAGGTAGATCTCGCGCTTAGCGCGGTTTCTGTGGATCTGTAGACCTAGGTATTCTTTGCATTCGCCTAGATCTCTTGATTCCCATTTCTTCATAAACTCGTCTTTCTTTGCTTTTAGGAGTTTAGGATGTGATCCTAAGAATAGACCATCATCAACATAAACAAGAAAGATGACCATGCCTGCATTGGATTTAAAAATATAAATCCCTGCATCCACTTTGGATCTTGTATAGCCCATGCGAAGTAGGGAAGCATGTAGGGCTTTGTTCCATGCTAATGCTGCTTGCTTTAAACCATAAAGAGCGCGCAGCAACCGATAGACCTTGTGCTCTTGACCTTTAATTTTGAAGCCTTCTGGTTGTTCCATATAGATTTCTTCATCCAAACCACCATATAAGAAGGCAGTTTTGACGTCCAGGGCGCTCATTTCCCAATTTCGTTGAGCAGCGAATGCTAGTACAATTCGCACTGTCTCAAAACGAGCGACCGGTGAGAAGGTATCTTCAAAATCTGTTCCGAATTCTTGTGTGAAACCTTTGGCCACAAGACGTGCTTTATAGCGACCATCGCTTTTTATAGCGAAAACCCATCTGCATTTGACTGGTTTGCGATCTGGTTTTGGATCCACGAGAGTCCAAACATTCCGTTCCTCGATTGATTTAATCTCGTCCTTCATGGCTTCGAACCATTTCTTTTGTAACTCCGGATTAAGTTTAAGGACGTCTTTGAAGTGTTCCAGAGATTCTTTTACACGAGCTGCAAGAAGGAATTCGAAGGTATTTGTAAAAACACCTTTTCGATCATCTTCTTCTTCATCAACATGTGCGGTTCGAGAAGGACCTGCAATTGGTTGGGTAGGAGTAGGAGGAGTAGTTGACCCAGGTAGAGGGGTCAATGGAGAATCGGGAGGATGTGATATCCATTCTCTTGGAACAGAAGGAGCCTGTGGTCTCAAAGGTGATGGAGGTCTCCTTTCTTCCCGAATTTGTCTTCCATACTCTCTTGAATTGCGAGCATGTTGCTCAGCATTCCTAATCCATTCTTGTGCAGTGTCCCTGTTATCCCGTATATCTCTCTCAATTTGGACAGGAGGTCTAGCTCCATAGATATTGTCAGGTCGAGAGACAGGGATAATTCTTCTTTTAGGACGAGGTTCCCGTTCAAGTTGTTCCGGAGTTGCCCTTCGTAAATTTCTGTTATCTCCGGGAACAGGATATGGTTGGTGTGGGTGTTGAACGAGATTTGGAGGTACAGCAGGAGCTCTGTGTGGTCTTTGTGGTTGTTGGACTGGTCTGTTATTTTGACCACCCTGCTGTGGGTTTGGATTACGAGGAGGTTGTTGTGGAATCTGTGGTTGGACTGGATGAGGTCCAAGGTCGGGAGGATCAATCCCAAAGTCTGGTTGGTTTCCACCAGCATCGCTAGAACCAGAAGATTGGTCATCTTCGGAATCAGGGTCATTTGAGGTATCGGATTTTCTTCGAATACTATCCGAACAGAAAGGGAAGGAGTCTTCTACGAACTTGGCAGTACGAGATAATATGATCTTTTGACCATGGAGAAATCGATAGCCTTTTGTTTTTGGTTCGTATCCTAAGAAAACCATTTCGATTGCGTGTGGGTCCAGTTTATCCTTTCTCTGTTCTTTTGGCACCCATACATATGCTTTGCAACCGAAGGTACGAAAGTATGAAATATCTGGAATCTTGCCAGTGAATAATTCAGCTGGTGTCTTGAACTGTATCCTCTTGAGCGGTGTTCTGTTGTACACGTGGAGTGCACAGTCAAATGCGAAGTTCCAGAATTTCTTCGGAACACATGCATAATGACGAATTGCTCCGGATTTTTCCAGAATAGTTCTGTTGAATCGTTCTGCGCGACCATTTTGTTGCGGCTGGTCAGCTATAGAAAGCTGATGAGCAATTCCTCAAGAGTTGAGGAGCGCTTTGAAAGTATTTCCCATAAATTCTCCCCCTCGATCCGAACGGAGAGTACCCAATTCCAAGTTAAGTTGCCTTTGCATAGCAAGCAACCACTCGGTAAAGTGTTTGTAGGTGTCGGATTTGTTGCGCATGTAAATGCAGAACCTGAAGGAAGAGTAGTCGTCAAGTAGTGTTAGAACATACTTGGAACGAAAGTAGGATTCAATGGGAAGTTCCAAAAGATCGGCATGAACGAGTTCTAAGGGGCGAGTGGCACGTTTCCAGGAAGGTTTGAATGACTCGGAAGCCATTTTGCCTTGTGCACAGCCCTTGCAGGACTGAATCCCATAGAGAGGGATGTCAGGAAGACCCAATCGGCGAGTATGATGTAGGATATTATTGGCAGGATGTGCCAGCCGATTATGCCAAAGTGATTCGGCATCTAATTTGACCATCGGGCAAAGGACCGAAAAAGCATTGGAGGGTGGAAGCGGAACGCCCACAAACCAATGTAACGGTGAATTAGGAGAAGCTAATCGTGCTTCTACTAAAATCCGGCCGTCAGGTGTTCGGATTACTTCATTGTCTGAAGTCGCTTGGCTTCTGTATCCCCTGTTAAGAAGCACATTTCGAGAGCATAATCTCTTCGAAAATTGAGGGCTGTATACCACATTTTCTAAGGAAAGAGTGGAGCCATTTTCAAGCTGCAACACTACAGTTCCTTCACCGATTAAATTGACTCTTTGTTTTCCAGCAGTATTAGCCAACTGTGGAGTTGAATATTTCTTAAATGACAAAAAGTCAGAGTAATAAGGGGTCACATGATGTGAAGTCCCAGAGTCAAGCATCCAAATAGACTCGCCTTTTGGCAGTGTGATGTTGGCTGAAATATCCAATGGATAACAGTCATAAGCATCGTATGCATTGCGGTCGAATTTGCCAGGGTTGTAACCACTGACAGAATTCTCCGGGTCAAAATCAAAGTCCGGTACATCAAGACAAATAAAAGGTCTAGGACGAATATAAGTCCTAGGATTTGGTATGCTCGCATGAAAATCTGCTAATGATAGTTTAAGTGGTCTGCGAGATTTTCGGGAAGACTTGGTAGAATGTCTGTTTCCTCGAATAACCTGCGACTCATCATCTGCAGAATTCCTCTCTCCTGCCACTGGTACACTAGCCAAGCCGGTAGCTCCCATTCCATTCGTGGATTGGAGGGGCGGGCTATGTATAGGCCTGGCTCCCGACTCAGAAGAGGGAAACGGAATCCTCCTCGATAGAGGATCCGAGTTCTCCCGTTGTAAGGGTTCCTGAAGGGATAAATCCATTCTGAAACCCGTCGATTCTGAGGAGCGATAGGTGCGTAGGCAAATAGAGCATAAGCATGGAGAGTCAGATCTGGGTATTTTGACACGAGGAGTCACTGACTCAACTTCAGAGATGAAGGAGTTTTGGATCTCCTCCTGATACCAGTCTGAGAGGGTACCATCAGGTTGGATAGGCAGAGTGGGGACATGGCCGACATGTTCCATAGCCATCTCAATATCCTCAGCGGTTAACTCGGGATCAATTTCCCGAGAAGCGAGAATGTTATGAGTGCCAAGGGAGACATTCATATCAGGACGAGGAATTTCGAAGGATTCGTCATCCGGAGAATACTCCGGAGAAGTATGGCGGAAGTTGATTGCATTTATATCAAAATCATCATCAGGGTAATTTTCCGGGACTTCTTCGATGGATGCAAGATTAAATTCTTCTGCACCCTGTCCGGGAATGTCAAGCTCGTTGGCATTAGCTTTTCCT